GAAACTTTACTCATTACGCTGGGGCAAACCTCAGTCGCTAGACCGCAGCAAAGGAGGCTGCAAAATTGAAAACAAAAAAAAAAAGATGAAGGAAGAGAAAGAGAAAAGAAGAGAACGCAAAACGTTAAAAGTGAAAAACTATGCTGAGTCACAGACCGAGAATGGCTAACGGAATATGCTTGCTGCGAACGTCGCCGAAGCCAACAACAAAAAGTGAGGCAAAAACCGCTGAATGCCTGCAGCAGTGGCAGCAACAACAATGGCAAAAGGCAGCTGCTGCAGCAGCAGGAGCAGCAGGAGCCGCCGGAGCAGCAGCTACTGAAATCCGCCCAAGTTGTGGGTAATGCTGGCGTAAAACAAAAGCTTATCCTGTTACTGCCTGCCGGTCTGCTGGAGACGTAGGTGTTGGCGGGAATGCTGGCCACGGAAATACGTTGCCATTGCCACAGCATGTGGCACACATATACACACACACACCCAGGCATATAGTGGGCGAAAATCCAAGAAAAGACTCACGAATGTAAGCCAGACATGCGACTCGTAGTATGCTCTATAATGCAGTGGCACAGTTTTAAGCCCTCAATATTATTTATTTATTTAACTTAAATATTTACTAAATGAGAGCAGAAATTATTTATGCACGTCTTTCAATTCCATTTATTTCCGCCTGCACTTTAATTTGCAGCGTAACGAATAGACAACCCACCTTTTGACTTGCTGTCTCTTTTTCTCAAATTATGTCAGCTCCAGAGTCATGGCAATTATGTTGCCTATATAAATGGTACTTCTTGGCTTTTCAGCCAGCAGGATTGAATAAGACTAGCTTATGCCAAGCGGTCCATCAACTTGAAAATGCGACATCACATTTTTGATCTTAGTATGAAAATGTCGAAAATCTGAGGCTGGCAAGAGGGCTGTTAATTTCCTTTAACAGTAACAGAGGCAACTGAGAGAGCCTTTAACAGTGAGGTGAATGGCAGAAATGTTGTATATGCATAACAGAATGGCTGTGTGTGATCAGCAAGCCAGGCAGATTTAAAGGAAGAACAGCATGGTCTGGTGTCTGACATATGATTGGCAGCACTAATTGTTGCGTGTCAAAAGCTAATTTGAATGAATGAAAGAATAAACACAATTGTCAACAAAGTTGTTACATGAACAACCTTTTATTTTAAGCTTTAAATATACAGATGCTCAACTGCATGATGTTCGCTCTATGATTAGAAAAGTTTGGGTATTACAAAAGCGCCGGCATGCCAGAAAAAGCGCAGCCACAAAAATGGCTGTGGCAGTGAGCACAGAAAGGCACACACAGAGTCTGTGCGAGGGTGAGAGAGAGGCAAAATGTAGTTGCGAGTAAATGTAGTTGTTGTTGCAGTTGGCTGGCAGTGGTTGCCATTTAGTCGCTGTAGTGCGATAGTTGATAGTGGTAAGCACTGAGCAGTGGCTGTGGTGCAACAGGGTGTATTATGGTCGTTAAGTTATTACCTACCACGCCGACAATGGCAAAGTTTACACAGTGAAACTTTCCAAAAGGGAAATTCCTTCAACGGCGACGGCCAACGCCACATAGAATGTTGTGGAATGAATTGTTGTTAATGCCTCCCGCGCAGGGCTTGGCGCGGATTTTCCTTGCTGTAACAGCGAGCAAAAAAATAAAAATAAAAAGAAAAACCAACTGAATGTGGCATAATTTCGCTCGTTGCCAAGTCAGCGACTGCCGCTGGCCGAAGAGCAGCTCAACATAAAACTTGAAAAAAGCAAGAAAATAGAAATAAAAATAAAAATTAAAAATAAGTAAACTTTGCTTCTGGCTTTTTATTAGACAACGGCATTTTAAGCCACCTCCGATGCTTGGCAAAATTAATTGCAATTAAAGTATGGAATAGGGAGTAGGGAGCGTGGTGTAACTGTGAAAAGTCGAGCTATTTTTTTTTTAATATTAATTATGGAATTTGGTGGCAACTTTTCAAGCAACTAAAACTTTTGCATATTATCATCAGTCTTGATTAAGTTCATGCTGAGATAACAAGCTAATTCGTATTTATGGCTTGTCTCTTTTTTGTTTCTACTCCCTGGTGTCATTTTCTCTCCTTCCTGTAATCACATTTCTTCTCTTCTCTTCCCTCTCCATAGGAACAATGTGGATCTGGCACCTGGAGATCGTTATGTGCGCATTGCCTTCGCCGAGGCGGCCAAGGAAATCGACATGGCCATCAATAACACCCTGGATATGCTCTTCTCCAATCGCTCGTCGCGTGCTCCACCTAACTATGGCGAACTGCTGCGCGTCTTCCGGTTTCCCACCGGCCAGGCCAGGCAGCTGGCACGAGCCGCAGAGATCTATGAGCGCACGCTGGTCAACATCAGGAAGCATGTGCAGCAGGGCGATAATCTGACCATGGAGAGTGAGCAGTACGAGTTCAGGGATCTGCTATCGCGGGAGCATTTGCACCTGGTGGCTGAGCTGTCCGGCTGCATGGAGCATCGCGAGATGCCCAACTGCACGGACATGTGCTTCCATTCGAAATATCGCAGCATTGAGGGCACTTGCAACAACCTGATGCATCCCACGTGGGGCGCTTCCCTGACTGCCTTCAGACGCCTTGCTCCGCCCATCTACGAGAACGGCTTCAGCATGCCCGTGGGCTGGACCAAGGGCCTGAAGTATGCGGGCCATCCCAAGCCCAGTGCCCGACTGGTATCCACCTCACTGGTGGCCACAAAGGAAATAACGCCTGATGCCCGCATCACTCACATGGTCATGCAATGGGGTCAGTTCCTGGACCACGATCTGGATCATGCCATACCATCAGTTAGCTCCGAAAGCTGGGATGGTGTCGACTGCAAGAAGACCTGCGAAATGGCGCCACCCTGCTATCCGATTGAGGTGCCACCGAATGATCCGCGCGTCAAGAATCGTCGCTGCATCGACGTGGTGCGGTCCAGTGCCATCTGCGGCTCCGGCATGACCTCCCTCTTCTTCGACAGTGTTCAGCATCGCGAGCAGATCAACCAGCTGACAGCCTACATAGACGCCTCCCAGGTGTATGGCTACAATACGGCCTTCGCCCAGGAGCTGCGCAACCTCAGCTCCGACGAGGGTCTGCTCCGTGTCGGCGTTCACTTCCCCAATCAGAAGGACATGCTGCCCTTTGCTGCGCCACAGGATGGCATGGACTGCCGCCGCAATCTGGACGAGAACCAGATGAACTGCTTCGTGTCCGGAGACATTCGAGTCAACGAGCAGGTGGGTCTGCTGGCCATGCACACCATTTGGATGCGCGAGCACAATCGCATTGCCCGCAAGCTGGGCGAGATCAATCCCCACTGGGATGGCGACACGTTGTACCAGGAGTCGCGCAAGATTGTGGGCGCTCAGATGCAGCACATCACGTTCAAGCAGTGGCTGCCTCTGATCATTGGCGAGAGTGGAATGTCCATGTTGGGCGAATATCGTGGCTACAATCCCCAGGTGAATCCGAGCATAGCCAATGAGTTCGCAACAGCTGCTCTGCGCTTTGGCCACACCATCATCAATCCCATACTGCATCGCTTGAACTCCAGCTTCCAGCCCATACCGCAGGGGCATCTGCAGCTCCACAAGGCCTTCTTTGCTCCATGGCGCTTGGCCTATGAAGGTGGAGTGGATCCGTTGATGCGCGGCATGCTCGCTGTGCCCGCCAAGCTCAAGCTACCCGATCAGAATCTGAACACGGAGCTGACGGAGAAACTCTTCCAGACGGCACACGCTGTGGCCCTCGATTTGGCTGCGATCAATATACAACGTGGCAGAGATCACGGCATTCCCGGCTATAATGTCTATAGGAAATTCTGCAATCTGAGCGTGGCCACGGACTTTGAGGATCTGGCTGGTGAGATCACCAATGCGGATATACGTAAGAAGCTGGCTGAACTCTATGGTCATCCGGATAACATTGATGTCTGGCTGGGCGGCATACTCGAGGATCAGGTGGAGGGCGGCAAGGTGGGCCCACTCTTCCAGTGTCTATTGGTGGAGCAGTTCCGACGGCTGCGGGATGGCGATCGCTTCTACTACGAGAATCCGAGTGTCTTCCAGCCCGAGCAGCTGGTGCAGATTAAGCAGGCCAGCCTGGGACGCGTGCTTTGCGATGTGGGCGACAATTTCGATCAGGTAACGGAGAATGTCTTCATACTGGCCAAGCATCAGGGCGGCTATAAGCCATGCGAGGACATACCTGGCATCAATCTGTATCTGTGGCAGGAGTGCGGCACTTGCAACAACCAGCCAGCGCTCTTCGACACATTTGTGCCACAGACCTACGCGAAGCGTAGTCAGCGCCAGAAGCGTGATGTATCCAGCGACCAAGAGGTTCCCACTGCCGAGAGCTACGACAGCCCATTGGAGGCGCTGTACGAGGTGAACGAGGAGCGTGTTAGCGGCTTGGAGGATCTAATTGGCAGCTTCCAAAAGGAGCTGAAAAAACTGCACAAGAAACTGCGCAAGCTGGAGGACTCCTGCAATGCAGTCGAAGCTGAACCAGTGGCGCCTGCTCCGCCCCAGCCCACGGTGGTGAAACCCAAACGGAGCCACTGCGTCGATGACAAGGGCACCACGCGCTTAAACAACGAGGTCTGGACGCCGGATGTATGCACCAAGTGCAATTGTTTCCATGGCCAGGTGAACTGTCTGCGCCAACAGTGCGGCGAGGTCAGCTGCCCGCCGGGAATTGAACCGCTGACACCGCCAGAGGCCTGCTGCCCGCACTGCCCCACAATGCCAACCAAAAAGAAGCTGGACAATTGAGACAGCTATTTGCATATCGACTTAACAATTAATCAACGCCCCTCTTAAACTTAGTAGCCACATTAACACTAAAAGCCGGCTTCCATTTGAGATTAAACATAGAAACCGAATTCAAACGACTTTTATCTTAAACGCTCACAAAATTTATAGAATTTATCGAATGGAAGCCGTCTTTCACTCTTAACCATAACGCACAGAGAGTCACAAGCAATTAATTAAACAAATTAACTAAATATTTACTGCTACACGTGTAAACAATAAAGCACAGTATCAAAACTTAGCACAAATTATCTACTGAAAGTTCACGTATTTGGTGTGCGTTCCCTTGGCTATCACTGAGTTGTCCTTTTTGTGCCGCAGCTGGCAGTCGATGAAGGCGAGCATTTTACCAGCCCGCACTAAGTTTGCCTCGATGAGCACCTCATCGCCCACACGAGCCGTTTTCAGGTAGCTAACATTAATGTCTACCGAGACGCCGGGATGGCAGGGTTTCGACATTAGTGCATAGGTCGTTATCATATCCACTAAAGTGGCCGTATAGCCGCCGTGCAATCCTCCAGCTTTGTTAATATGCTCTGGAGCAACTGTAAATTCGGCTTTGCAAATTCCATCGCCGCCATCCAATATTTTTACCTAACAAATGATTGAATCCATTAAAATCCATCAAGTCCAACGCTTACACAACCAATCAACCTTTTCCAAGTGCCGCTCAAATCCTGTCGCTTTGGCTATAATCTCAGATATATGCTTAGCAAATTCCAAGCCCTTTTTGCGTGTGCCCATATTTGTGTTGTTACGAAACGCGTGGATAACAAATAAAAACAATCATAACAATAAGCTCTAGAGATGAGCGTTTTAGTGCTGCAGACTATCGATAGTTCATGGTTCTCCACATTCAACAGATGAAGGAGCTCATCTCATTTGCATGGATGACGTCATTAGAGCGAGCTCATCAGATTGAGTTATCTCTTATTTATTTAGTTTTACAACTGATTACATTCATTTGCTTGACTCTGTGTTGAAATCCACGTATTTGGTTTGTCCACCTTTTGCAATGATCTTGCCATCCGCTTTATTGCGCAGCACACACTCAATGTATGCCATTTTGCGTCCAGCATGCAGCGTATTCGCATCCACCTCTATAACATCTCCTGGTCTGGCCGCAGATACGTAGCTCACACTTAGACTAGAGGTAACGCCGGGATGAGAGCCCTTGGACATTAGTGCGTATGTAGTTACATTATCTAATATGGTGGCCGTTAAACCGCCGTGCAGGGAGCCCAAGCGATTTAAATGCTCAGCTGCCACCGTAAATTCGCCCACGCAACGCCCTTCGCCGCCACTCGTTATTTTAACCTGCAACATTCAAATGCAGCGCTTTATCGATAGTCCTGCTTACATAATTTATCGAAACAAAGTTTCAGCTGATTAGTGCAGTGCGTTGTTTTCCGTCGTTTCCTTACACAAATTTTTCGGCTGTCACTTACCATTTGAGTAACGCGATCAAAACTGGTGCCTTTGGAAATAAATTCGGCTACTTTTTTAACCATTTCAACGCCATTCTTAACTGACATTGCGGCTAACTTTTTCTAGCTGTCCATTCGCTTTGAAATGAAGAAAGCTACTGAAGCAAACGCTAGCGATGGCAAAGGTGAATAAATTTGAGTAAAATGAAAAGTTTACAATGTGAATGTGTGTGTGTGTGAGAATGGTGTGACTGTGTATGTAACAAAATGTCTAGACGAGCGTAAGACATGTGAGATTCACGCATTTTTGTTTTGCTCGCTCTGTACGCGTCTGCGCTTGAATCGCCCGGCAAACGTGTGATAATTGTACTGAATGGAAGAACTAAAGAGTAGTAAATATATTTAAATGAAAAAGCATTAAAAGCAATAAGTTGCAAAACTTAATATATACCTTCGCTTTTATTTAACAGCTCTGCATTTTCAAGTCCTGTGTAAATATGAAGTCAGGCAGGATTTAGTCCATGATTTTGTTTCATATACAAACGATGGCAATTGTATATCGTTGCTGGGCTCCAAGGCGGAGCTAGTTACTCTCGAATTAAGCTGCAAGCTGAGCCATCAGCTGCCCTTTCCATATGTCGTGACCAGCTGGAAGTGTGAAAACAAAATACGACCACTAGACCTACTGGCGGAACAAGTGAATCTCCAGTATATCTACGAAAGCGGCAATGTGCTGGAGCAGCAACACATCAGTCTGGATTCCGTGTACACAGCAATCTATTCACAGGATGTGCCTGTGCCCAATCTCATTGCCGCCAAGCTGGCCGACCACCTGTTGCCCGATGGGCAAATGCTAATGGCCACCTTGAACAGCTATGGCGCACTACATTTGTTGACTAAGCGGCCAGAGCAACCTGCCTGGGAGCACTACAAGAATGGTCTCGATGTGGTCGCCACACTCCGGGACAAACTGCAGCGCCCGTATGAAGTGCCAGCTGCAAAGATCAAGACATTTCGACACTATCAGGCCTACATGGATCGCAGTTGGATAACCATGCTCGCTTGGCGATCAGTAGAAGGCGGGGAATATGTGCTCGTCCTGGGCACAGCTGCCGGCAGTATTTGGACATTGACTTTATGCAACAATGCATCCACGATCTTAGCCCATAGTGAACTGCAGACACTTCTCGGGCGCATTTGCTTTATGCAGAGCTACGAGGATCTGCTGCTTGTGAGCGACAATAATGGTCTAGTGCATCTCTACAGATTCAGTGCCACAGAGGGAGAGGGTCTCTGCTTGGTCAAGACTCTTTGGCTGCGCCCGGATCACCTGGGCCTGCAACAGGCTGTGATTACGCACTGTCCGACAAGAGATTGCTATTATATAGCCTGCTGCAAGGCAGCGCATTTGCTCATCTGGTGCATGCCTAGACAGGCAAGTGGCAAGTGGTTGGAGACCCGACTGCATGTAGGTGGCATGAAGATCACAGGTGAACTATATACACAATCTTGCTTGTTATTTAATTTAGACTTTAAATACTCCTCTCACAATCAAAAGGTTTCTGCGCCGTCGCGAACAACAATTACGCTTTGGTCACCGCCCGCGGACAGCTCTGCCTGGTCGAGCTCAGCCACAAGCCCGGCCAGCTGAGCACCAGCATGCGCTCGGTCAACGTCGACGATACGAAGAACGAACTGCCAATAGGCCTATGGTGCAGTCCCAACAAGAACTTCATTACCATTCTCTCCACCCGCAACAAAGAGTATCTGTTCAACAAGGCAATACGCCGTAATCTGGTTTACGCACACGTCTGCAAAATAGAAGAAAGCAATGCATTGGCACAGCTAGATCGCTGCCTCACGCCTAGTGTGTCCATGAACAACTGGAAGGATCTGCTGGTGGAAGTGCGTTTGGATATCTTTCAAAGGACCAAGCTGGATGAGTATCTCAGCTATGCGCCAATCGATGCCTTTGCATTTGAGAATGTGGCCACAGAGGCACGGCTGCAGCAGCTGCAGCTCAAGTACCACGTCTTGGACGCCATAATTACAGTACAGCGTGATCAACGCAATCCATCTCTGCTTGAGCAAACCGAACAGGAATTTCACCTTCTGTTGAACATGATTGAGCTCACGCATATGCGACTGCGTCTCCAATACTTAAGCGAGCAGAAGAAGCTGACCAAATTCCAGCGGCAGTCGGCGCAATGTCAACTGGCAGCCAGTGAACGAATTCGACAGCAGCTAAAGCAGCAGCTACTGGGTGAGAAGGCAACACATGTGGCAACCAAGAGTGCGCTTCTTGTTGAAATGGAGGAGCAATTTGAGCAGCTGCAGGTGAAGCTGAATATGAAAGAGATACGGATAACTCTGGAGGATCCAAACCTTCTATGCGCGATCTCCTATATGCAGGTGCATGTCTGCCTGAATATATCTTAAAAATATCCATATCTAATTGACTATACTCCCCCAGTTGAGTCCTTCGCTGGAACGTCACTACTGCACGCTCTGTGGACGTCAGGTTTTGCTGGAAAAGCAGCTGCTTCTTGAGCTGTACCCACCCGGCAGCACGCTACTGTGTCCCTACTGTCATGGTAGCTACGCCTTGGAGTTATTGGATGCATAAACTTGAACAGTGCCTTCTAAATTTCAACACCAAATCAATGCCGCAAGCTTCAACTAGAGTTTGCTGTTTGTAATTCAGCTAGTTGAAACATGGCTGCTTTGATATGGGCTTGAAACTTAAAATGTGCCTGTTAAATTTTTATTCGAACTTAGATTATAAGTGCTCGTTAGCGTAATTAGGCAACGTAACTTAATACAGTGAAACATAGATAATGGGACTGGTCTCCAGCAGCAGCATGTCCTGCTCGAGCTGGCGCAAGTCGCACTCCAGCTTGCCCTTGCGCTGGCGCTTGTTCTCGCTGTCGATCAGCAAGGGCATCGACTGATAAGTCTTGGTCATCTCATTCAGATGGGCACGCAGACCGTCAAGTATTTCATTGCGCTCCTCCTGATCCATGATGCGCATGCCGGGCATCTCAGGTGGGCCACCATCGGTGCGCACTGGCTGAGTCAGGGCGGCCATTGAATCCGATGGCTTGACACCGCCACACAACTCCATGAGACGAGCTCGCTCCTTGCAGCAGACAAGGTGTGCATCCTTGAGCATCTCCTTGGTCTTCTGTATGTAAACAGGCACCTTGCCAAAGTCCTTGCGGCAAACATACTGCGGCACCATGCCTGAATTCAATAAATTCTGGCGAGTGCCAGTGGGCGTGTCCACATAGCGTGGCGGTGGCGGACAGCGCACGGTGTTAGCGGCACAAGTCATATTACGCTTCACAAAATTGGGCACCATGTCCGGCTTCTTAATCTTCTTGCCCATCGGGGGCAGGGGTGGCATGTTGCCGCCCTTGGGGCAGACATGCAGATTCTCGCGACGCCACTTGATGCCCTGATTCTTGCGCAAGAAGGCGCACGGCGGATCGAGCGGCACATTGGCACAGCCCATGGTGCGATGATGTGCCTTCTTGGCATCGGTGAGCAGACGGACGCCTCCCTTGAGCATGATAACGGCATGTTTCTTGTGCTCCATATTCAGACGATCGCGTCGCTCCTTGGCCACAATAGCTGCCTTAGCGGATGTTTCTAGAGAGGAGTGGGGCAGGAGGCGTAAATTACATATCCCATCAATACAACTCACCTTGCTCTCTACCTACCATGGACTACTGGCTCCCCTTCCGGCGGCTTCTCGGGAGCGCGCTCCATGTCCATAATATTCTCATTGTGATGTGTTATATAGACCAGCGACATGACTTTAGTCTAAGAAATTTCCTGCTTTTTGCGCATAAAAAAATATATATATATATATATTAAGATATATATTATATCTGTCGAAATCTGTACTGTACTGAAAATATTTTTGTAATGCTAGCTAGTAATTAAATAAGTTATATATGTAACTAAGTTCATTGTTGCCTAGTTTCGAAAAACTTCCAAATGGTTGCTACACAAATTCGACTGTTGCTCTAGCAACATTTCAAATACAACTTGCAGAGTTTTTGAGTTTATTTACACCCCATTGTGGACCTCGGAAGAGGATACATTCATTGCAAATAAAACATGTTGAATATAATTCTATAAATGTTGTTTTTATTAAAGCACAATATCAAGCAACAGCTTGTGTCGCACACGAGTTACACTTACACTTAGTATAAATTGTATATAAATTGTTACCATACAAAATTCGCGGTGTATATAAATATTTTATGTATCTGTGTGTATGTGTGAGTGTGTGTACATATATAAAATAGCACTTAAAGGGGGTTAGAACATGCATTGATTTGGAAAATTGGAAGCACATTGAAATGACATAAAAAACATCTTTACAGACAGATGCACAGCAGCATTTTTTTAAAAGCACACGAAGCGGTGCTAAGGGCACAATACAACTTACGATAACTAACTTATTTGGCTATATGTAATCAATATGTATATGTATATGTGTATATATGTATATGGATATGGATGTATATGTGTATGTGTATGAGAATATGAAAGCCACTTAGAGTTTGCACTGTTCAGACAGCATTTGCAGGCACTACATCAGAGTTTCGCATGACGCCATTGCACCATTATACAAAAAAAAATGAGTGAGTCATGGATTTGGAAACGTGCGCGCAGCTCATTTGTTATTGTTGTCACTGCTCTCCTTGTTGCGCTCCTCGCGTATGCGCTTGAACGCCTCCGTCTTGACAAAGTCCACAAAGTTGTAAACGACGCCGCTCTGCACCGGCGCCCGCACAGCAGCCGCATCACTAGCGCCTAGGCGCGCCGGTTGACTCAGAGCAACTTTACCTTGGGAGTACAAATTGCCGACGCTCATGCTCTGACGATTGAGCAATTGCGGCTTGTTGGTGACATCCAGATCAAAGTACTGTAGTTTGTGCTCCTGATGCTGCTGCTGCGGCTGTTGCTGTTGTTGTTGGATTTGCTTGAAGTTCGCTGCCGCTTGAGCGGCTGCTGCTGCTGCGGCTGATGTCGAGGTCATCGCTGCTGCCGCAGAGGCTGTGCGTTGATGCTGCACCGATTGGCTGCCGGGACTGTTGGGATGCTGGCGATGCTGCTGGCGTGGCAGAGTACGCGTCTCATGGAAATAGCCAATAGCTGCCGGCGAATGAACATCCGTTTCATGCGGCAGCACCATCGAGAGCGGCGCGCCCGACGAGCGACGCGTCGACGGCGACATGGTAGCCGAGGAGCCCAACTGCAAGAGATTACAAATTTAGTATGAAGCTAATGGAGGAGCTATAGTAACCCATACCTTGAAAGCATTGGGTTTGCATTTACGATCCACACTGGGCGGCGCGCTGGACTGCAGCTTGGTGGCGCCCAGTTTGCTGCTCAGCTGCTCCATGGCGCCCACTGGCGGCTTGGCTGGGAACTCCTCGGGCGGCTTATCCTCCACGCTACTCTTGTGCGTTGCCTCCAGCGGCGCATTGGATACCTTGGGCTTTAGCTTGCGATTAACAGGCGGGCAATCGGCTTGTTCAATGAAATCATAGCGAAACACATTGCCCTCCATGCGAGTGGGCGCGGCATTCGTATAACAATGCTGGCGCGGCAGCGTGCGTGCACTGGTTGGCGAATTAACCGCCGTTGTTGTTGCCGTTGCCGTTGTCGTCGTTGCCGCCGATGGCAGCCCCTGGTTTCCCATATCGGCCATCAGATTGGGCGTGGAAGCAGCTATGGGATTGCTATTGTGCGGACTGGTCACCGGCCGGTCGCCCAACAGTTGACCCACATTGCAATAGGGCAACTGATGGGAGCGTGGAATGTCATAGCTCTCTTCGATCAACGAGGAATTCGCGTGTCTGGCATTGGCGGCCACAATCGCGGGCGATGTGTTCTCCGTGTCCGAAAGCTGCGGCAAATCGCGTTGTAATCTATAAATTTGAAATATATTTAAAATGGTTCAAGCTGAGCTGAGATTTCCAGTTACTTTTCGTTGTCCTTAAAGTCCAGTATAAGGTTATTTTTGTTCTTCAGCACCTTGGCCAGTCGCTCCAGCGTATGATGCTCGCCAGCGCCATCGGCTGCTGTGGCCGGTATGGCAGCCAGTTGCTTGGCATGCCGGGCAGCGGCTGTCGGCGTCAAGGCAGCTCCATCTTCTGGCATTTTAGAGAAGCGCTGCGCGAAGGTTAACACAAAGGATTCGTTCTCAATGGAGCTATCCGAAGGGCGTGTGTTGCGATCTAAAAGTGCACAATTTATTAATTTAAATTGAATTATACAATGCAGAAGTATCTTTATAAGTACTTGTGCTTTATATAGCTTACCAACATTCTCACGTAACGGCAATGGATGCGCCCATTCGTCGTCGTCTGTAAAAACGCTCTCGGAGTCCGAGTCAGAGCGTTGACTGCGCTGCTTCCCACTAGAATTAGCCAGCTGTTGCTGCAATAGAAAATATATTCTCTTTAACGAAAAGTCCAGATGCTTTCCGAGTTTGCATGAGCTCACCAGACTGCAGTTGGTGATTTTGGGTGAATAGGATTGATCGTTGGTTAAGTTGAGGCCAATGTTGTTGTGACTGCGCGGCGTATCATAGAACTTGGGATCCAAATTGTTGAGAGCAGCCGCCGCATTGGCCTGGCTATCCATTAAAAATTTCGGACTGCCCGTAAAACACTCACTAATGGGTATATAGGGGCCCGAGGCGGTGCTCAGCGCCGGCGATGCCTGCACGCTGCTGCCATGCTGCTGGGATATGGCCTCAGCCAGCGTTTGTTGATTTAAGACCAGATGCTCGGGCAGCTTACGTACCACGCCATTCGAGTTGATGGCGAGACGTGCTGCAGCCTGCGCCTGTGCCTGTTGCTGTTGCTGCTGCTGCTGCTGTTGTTGCTCTTGCGCTTGAGCCTGCGCCTGGATCAATGCGCTCTGATTCAAATAGAGCGCCGTTGCGGGCGACGGTGGCGGCTGTTGCTGTGCCGCCGAGAGCAACTGTTGCTGATCGAAGTGGGCATCGCAGAGCAACGTTTCGCGATTGTTGTAGTCCGTATTCACGTAGACCGAGTCGGAGTTGTTGTTCGAGCTCTGCGGCTGCTGATCAATGACCGCGGGCCGGCGCAGCAGCGAATTGGCCGGGTTGGTGCCAGCCGAGGAGTGCAACGAAGTGGTTGTTGTGTTTTGTGTGGAGTTGCTCAGGGCGCCGCTCGAACTGGTATGCTGCTGCGCGCTGCGATTCCCGTCTGCAGTGAAAGGAAGAAATTGGCCAGGTGAAAGTGAACTGTGGACCAGTTATTAGATTCAATTGACACTCACCTGCTGCTGCAGCGGCAGCGGCTGTTGCTGCCGTTGATAATGCTGTGGCACCCAGTGGCAGATCATTGGATTGCTTCGTGTCATGCAGATGGCACACCTGACAGATGCAGTTCACCCAGTCGCGCATGCTTGCCTCGGTCTCGGCAGCCAAGTAATATGTGCGCTTCGGCGTCTTAATGTCGAACATATACTGAAACTTTTGCTTGCGATTCTCCAAGCGCAGGCCGCAGTCAACTTGCTCGCATTGATCCAAATCGATAACACCCTTCAGCTTGCGGCACTGCTGATCCGTATAGTATTCGAGGCAAAACTGCTCCGGTATCTCGCCCTGTTTCAGCGTGAACCAGCGCCGACGCCAGCGCTGTAAAAATACAAACAAAGCCAAAGCAACAAGTTTTAGCTTAGCTAACGCACGATAGATAATCAAGCGAGGAGCAGCAGGGGTGCGGCCAGTGGGGGGTCGGGCAGTCGGACAGCTGGTCAGACAGTCGAACAGTCAGTCTGACAGCTAACATACATATGTTGGATATGACGACGATAAGCTTGCAGCAACTGCAGCAGCGACCGCTCAGCTATCAGCATTGATGAATAGGCGCCGCTTGCCGTGCTGCCAACGTCGCTGCTGACGTCGCTGGTTAATTTTCCGCGAATATTTACATTGACATTTTCTTGAGTAATCAGCAGCTCACACCCCAAAGTATTGCCACATAACTGAAGACCGTATATTGACACCACCACAAAGCTTTGTGGTTAAGGAGAGCGGATCTCTTCTAACCAGGGCTTAAATTCAAAGGTGTTTAAGAGGTCTTTTTAAAAATAAAATAAAATGAATGAATATAGGTAAAAACAAATATGCATCTAGTCAAAACGCGTAATCAAAGCAAATCATTCAAAGGTCGGAAGTGCGCTCTGTCACGCTCACTTCACTTGCTTGGAACGTGCTAAGTTTTCTAATAAAAAACCCACCAAAAAACTAATTGTCTTTGCACTATAAGTTAATAATGCTTAATAACACTTTGATAACAATAATAAAAACTCTTTAATTATTAATTCGACTATTTTTTGACAATGAATCAATTTTCATTTTCCATTGCTCTCTAGTAGTCTGTGATACACATAGACATATAGCTTCCACATATTCTATAAGCATTTATATAATAATTTGGAATTATGTTAAAATTCATGGAATTGCCTTGATCGACAAAACTGGACCAATGCCAATTAATGGCAAAAAATAACAAGATCAAGACACGAAATTTCGTATAATTTATACCCTATATATATGTACATATGCCTACTCGTTCGGCATGCTCGCACTCAAACATGAGTCAAGAATTAGTATAGTTATATATTATGCTTGGCAGCGGAAATATGGGAAAACAATATGAATCACTAGATGATTATAAAGAATATGTGATAATATATGCGTATTCATTATACATTTATAATAACATATATCTTTAATATAATACCGAACAGAGAGTATTCGCACTTTTATTAACATAATTTACTTGGATTTTTTTTATGAATTTGGCCAGACGAATTTGCATTGTTGTCTGCACAGTTTCACGCTTAATTCAATTATAAACAATAAACACACATGCACACACACACACACACACACACACACATACACATAGGTGGGACATGGAGAAATTGGCACCCCGAGGCGTAACAGAATTAACGAAGAAGAAATTAACAACAACAACAATAATAATAGGCAAATAATTTTCTTGGCATACAAATTGGCATAGGACAGGGCTTGAATAGGGCGTTTAGTCCCTCTATATAAGGCTTGTGCCTTAATAATAATGCAACCCAAATACAATAGCAACAAGTGCGTCATTGTTTTTGTGCGTGCTGTGTGGCTTATCGTTTACACACACATATACACACATCTTTATTTACATGCATACAGCTGAACATAAATACAACCATATGTGCATGTCTGTACATACATAACAGGCTTACGCTAGTCAACAGTGAATGGCTATGAGTTTCCCTGTCTTCTTATACATTCGCCTTTCCTTCTAGTAACATTACATATTGAACAGTTATTTGTAAGAATAACAACAATGCGTGTGGCAGGCCCACCCCAACTTTATGTTTGCTTGGGCTCTCTTACTCACACAAGACCTGTCAGCGGAAAGCCTACTACGATCAATGGCTGATTTTGCTCTCTATTCCTTTCACATTATATGTAAATAGCTTATTTTTTTGCTCACTCTCAGCAGCGCTGTCTCCCTAATATGGGTTAACCACCGGATATAAAAATCTTGTAGGTGAATTCTATATAACCCTATTCAAATTGGAGTCTAGGGTATTCCAAGCTACATATGCATACGTATGTATATGCCTCGTTAATCGTTTTTTTTTTTTTTTTTTTTTTTCATTTTTTGTTGTGCTTGGGGCTACACTTTCTACTTGAGAGTAAAATGTTGATCAAACGTGCAACAGTTGCTCAACTGTTGTAATTTAATATCTTAACAACACCGCTAGCGGCGCTTAACGGTTGGCGCAGGGTAAACATTTAATTAACCGTAAACTTTGAGGGCAGCCTCACAAAATATTTTCCCACGCCTAGAAGGCGCAAGCATAAGCATACACATACGCAGCACACACATGCACAGGCATACACATACACAAGCGCAGCTATTGAAAATAGCTCATTCACAGTTTACAAATTTGCAGCAACAACAACTAAACAATTAGCTTGCGGTTTTTTTTATTATTATTTTTGCTTGTTTTGCTTTTCAATCACTTCGTCAAGCATTTGCAACAACAACAACAACGACAACAGCAGCAGCAACAACAACAACGGCAACAACTACTCGATTTCATCTGCCATGCAGCCCATGCCCAGCCCGTCAGCCGCTTATTAATGAATTAAAAATGATTATCGGACACACAGCACAAACAAATGATCACAAACACAAGCACATACTCTCACATGCATAGGCACACTCACGCTCATGCACACACATACAAACACTGAAAATGTATACAGAGCGTAATTGTACAAGAAAAATGCCACTAGTTGGTGCGCTTCTTTGCATGACTCAGTGTAGAAGTAGCGGAAAAATTGCCTTAAATTCCTTTTCTCTGTTGTTTGCCGTCGGTGTTTATGAATTTTTTGTTTTACCGTAAGCTTTGCTTGCAGCTTTCAATTTGCACATTTCACTGAACATTTGCCATTTGCATCGAGGCTACATCAAAAGTAACAAAAATGCTTTGTTACTGCATGTATGGGTCAATAAACTTACAGCACGCCAAATTCGTTTTGAGGGCGGCGATTTTATAAGCCATCCTTCGTGGAATGTACGATCCATTATTTATTTCAGTTTATGTTTATTTAAAACAAAATATATTGCTTTGATTTTTCAGTGTCCGCACACAACACAACGCACCAACACACTCGTGCATTTATTTTCATTATTTTAGAAGCAGCTTAACAGCGACACCAAGCAATTGAGTCTGTTAACAGTGCCTACTGTTACAACAGTGAGTGCAACAATACAAAATGAGTAAGCTCTGTTGTCGTTTGAGAAACAACAGTATAATTTAACATTTTGTTGAATTTATAAGCGGAATATAACAGCGCAACAAGGTGATCAGTGCAACTTAACAGTGCTTAGTCGATGTTTTTTCATTCGTGCTTACCGCATCTGTTAAACTACAATTTTATTATCCGATATATAATGCAGTCATATCGATATACAGTAGAACTTGGCTGCAATGAACGGGTATATAGTTCCCGCCTATTGAAAAAATGTAATCTTTACTATTAAACTTTATATTTACACATATTAAAGGCAGATAGTTTTGTTTTATTTAGAAATAAATTTTATTCCGTCGTGTCAATTGCATGTTGACCACATACAGCTCTCCCATATACATATGCACAATTATACTGAACAACGTAACACTGTAAAGCATTACGCCGATTTCAGACGGAACGTACTCCTCCAGATCTCGCTTATTTGTCCTTGCTATCGCCCTTGCCACCACGAATCCTACCAGTACGACGGGCAGCGATGAGACCGACCTTACGACCAGCGGATGTGCCACGCTTGACTGTGGACGCCTTACCAATATGTTGATGGTTACCACCACCGTGGGGATGCTCCACAGGGTTCATGGCAACACCACGCACCTTAGGCCAGCTGTTGCGCTTCACCTTGTACTTGTGGTAGGCACGACCGGCCTTCAGGATGGGCTTGTCAATGCGACCGCCGCCGGCAACAATGCCGACCATGGCGCGATTGGCCGATGGGACGACCTTCTTGGCGCCCGATGGGAGCTTGACACGAGTCTTCTTGGTGTCAGGATTGTGGGCGATGACGGTGGCATAGTTGCCAGAGGTACGCGCCAAACGGCCACGATCACCGGTCTTCTCTTCCAGATTGCAGATGATGGTACCCTCAGGCATCTGGCTAAGTGGCATTACGTTGCCAATCTGCAGAGTAGCCTTGCGGCCGCAGTAGACGAACTGGCCAGTGTGCATGCCCTCAGGGGCGATGAACATCTCCTTACGAATCTTGTAGCGGTAGGGATCGCGGAAGTGAACGACAGCCAAGGGAGCACCACGACCGGGATCGTGAACGATGTCCTAAAAGAAAAACAGTAAACAAATACCAATCAATTAACCATCATATCTATGTGCAGCTGTTGCCAGATATGACAACAAAAACTCACCTTGACGACGCCTCGAATGTAGCCAGAGCGCTCGGCAAAGTCCAGAGAACGCAGCTTGGCGGCTCCCTTGCGCTTCTTGACGTGCGCCTTGAAGACGGAACCGGCGCCTTTACGCTGTGCACGAATTACACGACCCATTTCTATGAATTGCAAGAAAAAACATTTAATGTTTTGCACACTACAATATGATTCATTTTCATTTAACAAGACTGCAAAATTTTACAAATATCTTATGTATATGCCAGATAAGGCCACATTTCAAACATTTTGCTTATTATTTTTTTGCGATGTTGCAGTTTGGTATAATAATTTTACGATTATCTTTTCAGCAATCGACACCTACCGATGCTCGGGTAAAAAAGAAAAGAGAGAAGAGGAAGACATAAGCATATTGTCAAAGTTTGACATTTAGCGCTGCCAACTTCACGCTGTTTTCCGTCAGCTGTTCAGTGTTGTTCAACCAATTGCTGCTATCGGTAATCGATTTACGTAGCTCCCATTAAGAAATCGAAAAGACTCAATTTGAATTGCAGTTGATTTTTATTTCTTTTTTTTGTTTTTTTTTTTGTTTTTTAATTTTCAGATTATATATAATTCTTTTTATGATTTAGATTTACATTCATTTCGTCATCATCAATTTACTTGTTTTATTTTAGAAATAAAGTAAGCATTTTATTACTAATTCGGTTTCTTAAATTGCATTTTAGTGCATTTTGTTTAAAGAACATTATTAAATATATGTGTGGGACATGGGTATACATTTATTTATTTATTTATTTTTTTTTTAATTTCTTTTATAACACAAAAACAAACAAGTTTTTAAATATTTTCTGCCTTTTTTGCATTTCGTTTTTCAACTTAAAATAAAAAAGAATAATTTATAAATTTGTTTTTCTTTTTTATTATTATTTTTCTTTAGCATTAATCGCCAGTTTAATTTGACATACGTGAGTGTGTGGATGTGTATTGCAGCAGGCATTTTATAGTGTGCCGATTTGCTAAAGAATGTGAATGTATATATGTATATTGCAACGTAGCCATATTTAATAATTAAACTGTAAAATTCTCCCAAAAATAAACAAATGGAAATCTAAACAAGAAAACAATACAATGAGAATGCAAAGCACACAAAAGCCGAGTTTATCAATCAATCAATCAATCAATATCTAATTGAGTTCATTATTTTCCCAATTTTAACATGCTAGCTTTTTATCATTTTTTTAAATAGAATTTCGTTTTTTTTTTTAAGTTCATTTTTGTTTTTTGTAAGTTCTGTATAAAAGTTCGGTAAAAAATGCAGCTTAACTAGATTCATCATCGATTTGCCCCTTCAATCTTGCTTTCACTTGTCCATCAAATATGACATGGATTTTGACTGATCAATCGATCAATTATCTCATAATTAGCTTCAAGAATTTACGTTAAGCATATATATTTTTCATGTTGTTTTTGTTGCTTGCTGTATTAGTAATTTTTTTTTTAATTTAAATTTTATATTTTACACATTTACTCATCAATTATCAATATTTTTATTTACTTGCTTTTATTTATCACTTAGTTTTTACAATGGCGCTTATTTGTTTTTGTTTATATTTTTATTTTCATAAAAAATGAGCAGAGACACATTAATTTATAATTTGATATAAATGTAAATGTTTTTTTTTTATATTTTATTTATTTATTTTTTTTTAACCTTTTTTGCACGCACATTAAAAAATAAATTCAAATTGTGAAAGAAAACTAAATTTGCGAATCGTAAAGTTTTCCTCCGAGTTTTTGCCTTGGCATGAACTTAAGTTTAACTTGCGGGCACAAAAATTAATATATAATGTAATAATAATAATATAAGTAGAAAAAACAATATATATATATATATGTAGATTTATATATATATGCACACAAATTTAAAATGACATTTGAAATGAAATTATTTTGTATGTGCATAAATTACTTGGGGGGAATTTTTTCCTTTTGCTTTGTTTAACTTTTCTTACTTTTTTTTTAGGTATGTAAAATACATATGCATATGTAAGTGTGTGTTGCTAATCAAACGCGTGTGTGTAATAAACAACTTTGTGTGTGTTTCAAGAAAATTAAAAACCTCGACGAGTGAGCTTAGGGTAAATATTGTTGTCCATCCTATCTGTCGCCTTTTACAATGCTGTTTTACATATTCTTCTTCTTCTGGCTTTTGCTTATTTTTGTTTATAATTATTATTACATTATTTAACGCTCGCTTAAAATTGTGCACTCCCATTTATGAGAGCTACATTTTAATTTATTTTTATAGCACATTTACTAATTGAAACGATTTTCCATTTACTGAACTTTAATTCATAAGCACATTTTGATGTGTGTGTGTGTGAGTGTATGGTGTGTGTTTGTATGTGTGTAATATGTATAGGATGTTGTTTCTCACTTAAAGATTATGCACTTTTTACTTAAACGAGCTAAGTGTGTATGTGTGTGTCGTCTGTGTTTTCCTTAGATATTTGTTTTTCCTTTCTTTTTTGAAAGTTGTAAAATAAGTAGAAAATGTTGTTGCAGTTGTTGTTGTTCAGTTGCCAAAAATAATAACAAAGAAGTGGGTCTAGGGTCAGCCCGACGACGGCCCTTTACCAATTGGCCATGCCCGGCTTGTTGAGCGTCATGAAATAGATTTGACACGATGAAGCACCTTTGGCACTGCTGAAGAATACTTTGTCATTGCGCTCGCAAAGGAATTTCAAGCGTTGCGCCTTCTTGTGCATAAACACACCATCCAAATGGCCGCTCTCAACGGAACGTATCTGTAAATGCAAATCAATATGAGTATATATCGTGTATTCACTGTAGTTGTCCTATGTGAGACGTACCTCTATTGCTTTATTGCCCCAGCCCATAATTTGTCCAGTGCCAATGTAGGCCACCGAGGTAGGCATTTCACCCCACTGCAAAGGAAGAATATAAATAGATTAATATAGATATAGATTGCATATAGAATATATATGAAGGTACAGTGAAAACTCTATGCAGTAACTGCACTTCAAAGCAAACATTTTCGTTTAGTTCTTACAGCCAGTCTTCACTGTACATGGCATGTTTTATTCTATCAAATACTTGCCTGCAGCACAATATTCTTGGATACACGACCGGCAGTATTCACATAGACGCCTTCATTGTCATAGCACAAAAGGAGTTGCATGCCATTTGAATTTGGAAGCGCCACGATACAATGGGGAATGATTGCACCCTGAGTCTGTATATAATGAATTTTTGTTTATAATTAGTACAGGGTATAGTGAACATTAATATACAATGACACTTACATGCTTAGGAAGATATATATCGTATACTTCAGCTGAATCTAAATCAACCGCATGGAAACCTTCAGCAGAACCATAAATCACTTTCAGTCTCGACTGATCCTCAATTGTGAGATCGACCAAAAGGGGGCGATGCTCCAGTTCACCGAAATTCTATTAAGTTAATAATATAATAATGATATATAGATATTTGATATTGATGATAGTGTCGGAGCTCACCTTAAATGCCATAAATTTGTGATATGGTTTGGGCGCCCATGCATAAATTTCAATTGAGTCTTTTAATGCAATCACTAGGAACTTAATCCTCTCGTATTTGACAATCTTAAAATGTACAGCACCTTGTAGATCACCCACATTAATCCAGCCATTGCGACGCTCCACTTGCTGTGGGTTAAAAAGGATGAGATTACATGAATAAAATATGCCAAATTGATACTTAAGATACATAAGTAGAGATATCTATCTAGAGTATACATATATACTCTATAAACTATCATGCAATATATGCAATATCTTTGCCATTTCAACTCCGTTTAACTCACATCGGAGAGTCCATCGGTGCGCAAGATCTTCGATTTGAGCCAGGATAAGTAATAGACGCGCACACGATTCTTTTTGCCCGATATGGTGACCAATATATTTTGGCCCTCTAGCACCTCCATTTGCTGGAAACGGCGACGCGAGATGAGCTGATATACCTGTACAAATAAAGGATTCCATTAGTAATATTCCATAGATATATATATACTGTATTCCTTTTGCTCACCTTGCCCTGACCGGAACGATCGAGCAGCATGAGTCCATTCTCGGTGCCAATTAGCAAATTGACACCCCATAGGGCGGCGCAGAGGATCTCCGAGTTGAAACGTTTCTTATACTTACGAATTTCGGGCGTATCATTGGCCGCCTCATG